AATGCATCCTGGTCGTGCTTTCCCGTAGGACTATTGAGACATGTGAATATCAGGCGTGTCGTGATGATCCAAGTGGTCTGTGATCAGTTCTAATATTTGTCGTATTCGCATTAAGTGCTACTCAGAAAACGGAGTTGCCGGACAGAATAGGCCTTCGCCATGTTGAGTCTTCGCTAATAACTATATATGCTCCTAGGATTAGCTTTTAGATCCTGCCTAAGACGCGAAAAAATACAAGTAGAAGAATTTCCCAGTATTTAATTCCTTTTATATGATAAATTAAATATTCAGAGCTAGTTTATATGGCGACAGTTCCTAACTAAAATCTATTTCTATAATCAATTATAGTTTATGATTTTCGTATTGCGTTAGGTTGGCAGACATGTGTCCTACGGGGGTCTGTTTCTAATAGAATTGCCAGTTTGAAATAGTTTCTAGTATCGGATCACGGTGCTCCCTCTACCAGCCCAAAACCTATGCGTTTTCTTTCAAGCCTGAAGGACGATAGTGAGGGCGGATTCGCATATGCAATAGTGACCTTGACAGCTTCAATGTCAAACACGCCCAAGAAGCGACTCTGAACTCCATTTAAACTTGCTCAGTTCTGCAGACAACCAAACGGGCCTTGAACTTTAGTTGCATGGGCTATGTTCTTGGAGATGGAATGTGCTTGCAAGGTGCGGTCTTGAGTCCACGCGTAACTAAAGGCTGGAAAAGAAAGAAAGGCTGAACAATTCGAATAAATTTTCAGTGGAATGGAAGAGGACTACAACATCATATGACGACAGAGAAACTGAGAAGCATTTTGTTACTTTACTACGCGCACACAATTTAAATAACCAAACGCTTGTACGCAAAAATGTGCATTGCAGATTCTGCTGTTTATGGCTTTTTGCTACAAGGGGTCAAATACGGCTTTGCAGCAGTGGATGTCTACAAGGATAGCTTACTGGTAATCGAAGCGATTGACATCTATAATATATTCGATTTAAAAATGAGCATTTTAGAAGATTGGCCGAATTTACTTGGTTTGCTGAGTGGGTTGTGTAACGACACTATTGCGTCACGCTAGTATTTCAACTAGCCACTCAGTGGCCAGCCTGGCACGTGCTAGGCTG